TAGCTGAGTTCTTGCTCCTGCCAAAACAGCCTTTCCTCCTTCCCCATTGAGTGCCTGAGTGTTAGGCCAACAGTGAAGGGACACCGCCTTCAGCAGTGGTGAATTTGAGTAGGATAACCCAGCTGCTGTTTCTTCTGTGCTGAACCGCATGACTTATGGGTGTGCTGGGCAGGCCAGACATCCTGGGCTTTTCCAGGGACACGGTACAGCAGCTCCAGGCTTTCAGAAGGGGCTGGACGTGGGAGAAGTGCGAAGGTATTCAGCTCAAACAAGACAGCTGTCCCCCTGAACGTGTGCAGTGGCAAACTGTGGAAATCCGAATATGTTTCCTGCTTAAAACTTTGGTGTCTGTGTGGCTAAATTGAGATTAGTTGGCTGGCTGTCAGGCATGTGCTTCTGCCTAGATTTTGCTTTAGATTTGAGCACTCCCCAAGAAATCAGTATAAGAAAGGAACAAAAGGAAGTCACGGGCAACCAGATTGCTCTGAGCAAATCAGCTTGGCAGTTGCAGAGGTAGCTGGAGGAGCCAGGAGAGCAAGGGCTCAATGGGCTGTCTGGCTGGCACCATGTCAGGGTTGCAGGAACATGCAGGCAGGTTCCAGAAAATCCTGGCAGTGCAAAAGATGAGCAGCAGTTCAGCAATGCCAAGGACTCACTGCTTCCAGCTGCCTTACACCACATAGCTGGACTGCACATGTGCAGGAGTGGTGGGGGGACCTGAGCAGGGCAACGTCTTTGCATAGGCTCCTGGATGTCTCGAGAGCCCAGCCCAGTGCTCCCTGCCAAGTCACAAGAGTGGGCAAATGGTCCCACAGCTCTTCCACAGTCTGTCTTTGCCTTAGTATGCCTCAGCCTGGGGGCACGATGGCGATTTTGCGTTGCCTGCCTGGGCTGCAAACTATACTTTCTGAGATAATTAGCAATCATTATTGAAGGATGTGGTTTTTAATTACAAAACACATAAGGATTTTCAAGTAATTCAGTCCTCAAGAGAAAGAAATGCTCTTTTCAGAGGAAAATACAGGCGAAATTAATAGGGGATGGAAACTAACCGAGTCCTATTCATAAGTCAGTAGGATCCATGGCAAAGACTTGAAAAAGCTGTAGAATTTTTCGCTTTTCCTGGAAAACCAGCCTATCTCTTACCATAGCAGACACGTAAATTGCTATTAAATTATATAGAAGGTGCTGAAACACTTCTATTTTCTTAAGGGGAAGAATTACAAAATAGCTATCTTATGTCATGCAAAACGAAAGGTGCTTATAAAATAATATATGCTTTGAATTTGTTACAGAAAGCAATTTCCAGTTCTGTAATTTACCATATTTTTTTCAAATGTGCTCCATCTGCATTTTCTTCCTTAGAAATGGGACAGTCCATAAACATCAGCAAACCATTTGGCTGTCCTTATCCTGAAATATCTTTTCACTGCACATAAAAAAACCCACCTCCTCACAGGCAGGTGCTGCTTTTGCTTTCTTATTATCCTGAGCCCATCTGCCTGCTGGTGTCCTGATGCTGTCGTTCCCTGGTACTTGGCTTTTCAGGGCAGGAGTCCATTCTTTGGTTTTAGCTTGTACTGTTTGGAAAGTGTTAGTCCTGATCTATGACTGAAGGATTAGGCCAAAGCCAAAGGGCATCTGAAATGTGCTGTAAAGACTGTTATGTTCCTTCCATCCATCTTTAGCAACCCTGATGGCCAGGCAGGAGTGGGTGAACTAGAGTAGCCTTTGCAGAGGCCATGCCATGTTAGAGGCACAGCTGTTACTCACCCGGGCACTTGCCAGCCTTGATGGGAAAGGTCAGGAAAGCTGGAGGAGATTTATCTGTCAAATACCACCCATTTTTATCTGGAAAGTGTGATCCAGCAATCAAAACTTTGGGAAACACTGATTTAGGCACTAGCACAGCAAGCATGATGAATGAACACAATAACAAGGGAAAAAAAAGAGTTCAGGATGTGCCTGAAGTTACATAAAGTGAATTAGGCTGCAGTCCTCTGCCAACTCACTTTTGCAAGGTAGTTCAGTAAAGAAGTTTTTCTGGGATTACACTCTTTAGATGTTGAGAAAGGGGGTAAGAAAATTTATCAGGGGTATTTTTTGCTCGTAGCACAACATCCCATGAAGGACACTGGAAATAGAAAACCTGCTGTTTCTACAAAGAGAGCTTCCCAGTAGCTGTCTGTGACTTTCTAAGCATGTAGCCATGCCCAAGATTTAATTCTGGTTTAGCCTGAATTGAGAGGTGGGCCTCTGTTGGGCTAGTACTAAATGAACCAAGATCTATTTTCAGCTCTCAGTGAGATGCAGCTTCAAATGGCTTAGAAGTGTGGGTGCCATGCCGTGCATCGATTTGGGGGGAAATGAGCAGGTTTCACCAGGATTCTGGAGAAAGATGCTCTTCAAAATGTTACCTTACTATCTTGCTGGTCTTGTCTCTTCCTGAGTCTTCCTTCAGGCTCCCTCTGGTGTTTGTAGTGTGTATTACTACCAGCTTCTCCAGTCCTGTTTTTGGCCGAAATTTACAGCAGCCTAGGTTGAGTGACACCACTGAAATTTTTTAGGTTCATATAAGGTTGAGATGCAAATAGGAGCTTTCAGTTCGCTTTAAGCATGACACTTAGTTGACCCAACTGGGATTTTTCTGGTTTAGACTACTACCATCCAGAGAATTGAAAATTCACTTCCCCTGAAGCTGTATATTTCTGCCTGGTAAATGAAGTGATGCCTCAGGACAGCCACCAAACAGTTTGTCTGTGCAAACTGTCTAACTACTGCAGGTCTAGCTGTGGGAAATGTAAGCAGCAAGTCCCAAGCATCATTGCAAATAATGCACTTGGGCTGCTATCAGTTTATTCCAGTAGTATTTGCTCCTCTTTCCAGTCCTGGCTGAGAAGTAATGGCAACTGAAATTAGAGCATGAAGAGCTGAGTTATGGGTTTTAACACTAAGCGACACTTGTGGATGTGTCTCTCACACAAGTGATATCCTAAGGCCGTTCTCATGTTAGAGTAATTACATGCAGAAACCCATCCTCAGCAGCACTCAGCAGGCTAACTCCACCCATGAATTCGAGTCCAAATTTCATTTCTCCTGTGGATTCCCCCGGCTCCCCACCAGCAATCTGTTGCACCTGTTTTCTGCCATTCTGCCGCAAATCCTGCCCTGGGCTGAAATGTTTCACAGCAATACCTAGTTTTGGCAGTGTGGAACAATTTGCCAAGCAGGGGTAAGTCTGCTTCCCCATGCTGAACACTGCAGGAGCTAACTGCCAGGCACCAAGCTAATTTTGTGAATTTACCGCATGAAAATGAAATGTTTCCTCTCCCTTTAAAATGGCTGGAAGGAAAAGGTTGTTTAAGAATGGGTCTGTACGTGCCAAACGTCCTATTCCTGGCACCAGCAGGCACCTGCTCTCTGCGTTGGGCAGCAGCCTGCCATTTTGGGACAGACAGAGATGTGCTCAAGCTGCCACTGAGGCTGTCCCAAGGAGGCACATGGTGGCAAGGTGGTGTGATGGTATATGTGGGCATGATGGCAAGCTTGGGATGTAGCCTCTGAAGTAAGTCCAAAGGCCAGGGTTGGGCCCTGTAGGGGAAGAAGTCAAAGGGAAAAAAGGCTGTATAATTTGCTGGAATTATTTTGTTCTTAGAGTATATATTTTTGCAACAGTTTCCTTCTTCCTTAAAGCTCAAATGATTGATCTCAGATCTTTGTGGGAGTTCTTAGACTGATTTCAATATGCTTTTTCATAGTCATCATCTTTGTTATGGAAATCTATGTCCTGAGATGTTATATACCCCAGTGGCGGCAAACCTGCTGTGCAATTCAGTGGATTATAATGCAACTCACTAACATGCTTGAAATAATGAGGTTGTTCTGTTCAGTAGGTTATGATGAAAAATAGAATCTACTGCTGGGAGCTCAGATTTGATATAAACTCCTGATAGAAAAGGTTCCCTGTTAAAATGCCATTGCAGGTTACTATGTTTGTGTATTCTTTAACTTCCATTTCATGCTGGACCAGAGGAGATTTTTTTATATTCTGCCCAATGCATATGAACAGTATGTTAAATTGAGGCCTTGCACCCTTCTGGTTCTGTTGGAAGTAAACCTTGGATTACAATGGACTAAACACAGAGAGAAATGGTGGCTGTGCTGGAATCAGTGGGAGATCTAAGCTTTGGATTCAGTAGCACTGATCTTTCCCCAGGTGTCAGGGTTCTCAGGTCTAACCCTCTTCCAGGCAGCCCCTACCTCTTTCTTAGTACGGGATGAGAAAAAGGAGCTGAGTTGATCCTTTCCTACTCCTTCCTCTCTGGAAGTTGGGTAGAGGATACAGATTTCTTTCCTTCAACTAAAGGGAAGCCTTTATAGCTGCCGTTCAGCTTCAGTCTCTCCCGTCCATCTGTCACCTTCTCAGTGTAATTGGTAGACCATTTTTCTGTAGATTATTTATATGGTCTCATAACTTTATTTTCTGCTTAGTAGTAGGAGCTGGTTTGTCAGAAAAACAGCTCTGAGTCAGTGATACTTTTGGAGAAGAATCTATTGAGAGAAAAAAGTGCCAGTTTTAAAGAGTTTTTCAGCCATTGCCTGAACCTAATTGGATCTTACAAACCCAGCGTGTGAGATGACCTATATGCCTTTTAAAAGAACGCTTTCCTCATAGCACTTAGACCTTGACATAAACACTAATGAATCCATAAAATGTCTTAGCATCTGGCACAGGAGCCTTCAGGGCATCAAGCAAAACAGGAGATAAATGGAAGTGCTCTGTGTACATAAGGTAGCAGAACTGGCTGGGCCTGCCAGTTAACCGGATTTAATAACCTGCAGAAGTCCATGTTATTTCAGCTTAAGGTTGATGTATATTTGGTTTGGACCAGTTTTCTCCTTTATAGATGCCTAGCTTTACAATTAGATGTGCAGTTTCAAGTAGCTGCTATCTCCTATTTGCAATTTAACCCAAGAGGGTCAATTTTCCCCTTTCACAGGGCCGGGGCGGCAAAGGAAGTATCTATGTCTGGGCCTCTGGAGATGGGGGCAGCTACGATGACTGTAACTGTGATGGTTATGCATCGAGCATGTGGACAATCTCCATCAATTCTGCTATAAATGATGGACGGACAGCTCTGTATGATGAAAGCTGCTCTTCAACCTTAGCCTCCACCTTTAGTAATGGGAGGAAGAGAAATCCGGAGGCTGGTGTGGTGAGTCCAGATATTATTGTGCTGTTGCTGCTGTCTGTGCACTCCCACGGCCCATTACAACTCTGTCTGCTTTGGAGCAGCAGATGGTTCTTTGTTGAGATGGATATTTTCTCATCTGCAGTACATGATTGTGCCAAAACTGTCAGCTGAAGAGATGTGGGATTAATATTGAGAACAGCAATGATCTTACTTCTCTTAGAGCTTCATATAGTTGGTGCTTTCCTTTATCAGAAGCCAGATTTACAAGTTCAATTACACTCTTACCAGAGGAGAGTGTGACAAAAGGTCTCTCAAAATCTAAATGAAAAGTGTCAACATCTGAGATCATACTCATACTGGCAGAGCAGTCATGAACCAGACTTCTGCTGTACTACAAGCTGCACAAAGCAGAAAGACATTCAGTCACCCACAGAGGCAATTTGGGGGTTCATATCACCCTCAATTTCCTATTGAGCAGTGCGGAGCATCATACTCAAGTCCCCCACAGGGCCATACCTACAACTGGAAAATATGCAGTTTCTGTTCAAGTGTAATTGGGATTCTCTTCCACCATACTGATCACTGCTTTTCAGCACCTTCAGACTAGCCAGGACATAGTCTAATTCACAGAGTGGAAAATTCAGGTGTAGTAACTCAAGGTTAGTTTTTGCCAAAAGCTGGTACACATTTTCCATGGCCCTGTCTCAAACTGTGAAGACACACTGTATTAATCCTAAGTGCCCATGTGCAGTATCAGATGGAAAAATACTGGTTTCTGTCTTGATATCAGCACAGAGCTGATATCAGCCAAGATGATCTGTGGCATCTTTGTAATTATTGCCATAAAATATATTTCTAAGGTTTCCTTCTGGTCTTTTCTAGTGACTGATCTGCATGGAAGACAGCAGCCTGGTACTGCTCTTGGTTCTGGAGTTGCACAAATGCTAGAAAGCTCAGTACTGTTAACAATTCTAGTTTCAAATCCTTCTGATAACCATAAGAGAATTTAAGGCCTTTGGTTAAACTGTGTTTATAGGAAATAAATGCCATCTCTATGAGTTTATGAGTTCTAAGTGGTAATGAACATTGCTTTACTACATCATGATTTATTCTTGCATTCACACCTTCTGTAACTATGTCTCACTGTGTTTTTAAATTGATACACTATTCTAAAGAAGAAAACAGATCCTAGGAACAAACACACAATTACTCTAAAGAGCAAGGCCACACACTCCACTTTCTGTATTTTTCTGAGTCTGTAGCTGCAAGGAAAATGGACTAGCTGGTTTCATTAATTACATCTAATATCATTGCAGGCTACAACGGATTTGTATGGCAACTGCACCCTGCGTCACTCAGGAACGTCTGCAGCTGCCCCTGAAGCAGCCGGAGTGTTTGCCTTGGCCCTGGAGGCTAAGTATGCTGTTGAGAAATTCCTTGTGAGCTCTAGAGAGGAGAGGGCCTGCAGTTTGTTTAGTATTGTTCATCATACAAATTGGCTGTGTGTGGCAAGGGGCTAGAATGAGCAGCAAACAAGCTACCTGCTACAGTAGTGTCAAACATGGTAACATGGAGCAGCAAACAAACATGGAGCAACAGTCTTGCCAAAGCCATATAGCAGATACATTTTGGCTGACTCGCTCTCTCTGTGTCCTCTCTACTGCTTCCAGGGGTTTGTCTTCTCCAGCACTGTTTGGAGGGAGAGATTATTTCATTTCTCCACATACCCAGTGTGGAATGCCCAGCCTACAAAAATGTAAGAACAAACCTATAGTATCAGACAAGAGTTCATCTTGTGCCACATACTGTCTGCAATGACAGATGCTTAGGGGAGAGTGCAGCAAATGGGGATTAAGAGCGATCTTTCAAAAACAGCTTTGGCAGTCAGTGGTTTGGAGAGAGAGCAGCGAGCCTATCCTGTTCAATAGCCACAGGCAGATTTATCTTCCTTGAATTTGTCTAACTCTTTTTCAGCTTGTCTGTATTTGGCACCTGTATCATCCAGTGGCCATCAGTTCACAGTAATAATAGTTTTTGGCAATGGTGGTGGGGAATGTTTTGAGTGTTTTTTCTTAACCCGTTGCTGGTACTTTGCTTCTGTGCTACCTAATTGTTCTGTTATGTGAAAGAATAAATATCCATTGTCTATTTACCATCTTCATGCTATTCATGATATTGGAGACCTCTTGTATATCTTACTTCATTATCTTCTTCTCTAATGGTTAGGAAAAGTTGTCCTTTCAATAACATATACCATCTTTTTACTTTGTGTTAAATTATTTTATGAAGTGAGACAACATTTGCTCAAGTATACAGCTTCAGTTGCTGTAACCATGGCATGAAGTGAGCACTACGTACATAGTTCTCTTCAACAGTATGCAGAAGCATAAAGGTTTGGCAGAGGTGACAAAGTTTCTGTCATTAGCAGAGCAATGATTGTTGTGCTCAAAGGGCAACTTGGGCCAACTCTCATTTTTCAGGTTTCATACACGTAAAACACACATGCCAAGTGTTTAACTTTGGATGATCAATCCTTCTACTATCAGATTCATTCAGTGAGGCAGCCACAATGTGATAAATAATTATGGCCATAAAAATATGAAGGCTTAATGAATTTTCTGACTACTGCATGTTTAACCTGGACTACAACCTTAGTATCTCTAAGTGCCATTCCTCTTAATTTGAACTATCCATGAAGACTAGAATTACTCCTGCCAAACTATCATGAGTACATATTAGACTAATACCCCTGGTTTGCAATTGGCTTTCTAGCCTTCGCTGAAAAAGGGATGGGGGGTGGGTAGAAAGAACTGTCACAGCGTCTTTTATCTCCTTCCAGGCTGGCTCTATTAAACCTCCATTTTAGTGTGCAGAACTACCCTGGATGAGTTACACTAGCCTTCACAGGAATGGCTAACCATTTCCCATGCAGATGACTGCTGCCTGCAATATGTCTCTCAGCTTATACACAATATATGTCTGACGTGTCTCTAAAACCAGACCAATCTGTGAAACGGAAAGTACAGTTTTAAGATACGTAGCAGCTCTTAAAAGGTTTCAATAAGAATGATGCAAGTTATATCTGGTTTTCAGCTCTCTTGTGTCACCTTGGAAAAATGACAGTAATTAGCTATTCTGGTGTACATTCAGCATGCACACTTCCTTATTACCTGGAACACAGAAAGCTGAAATGCGGATCCTTTTAGGTTGGTGGTTTGAATCAGACATACTGTAATGTTGAAAGAGTTCATCATAAAACAACTGGAATAGCTTTACTTATGTAGAATTAGAATGTCAGTTCTAAAGCTTCCAAAATAATAACTTATAAGTGCCCTTCCTGTCATCATAATCACTGCAAATCTAGGAAGACAAAGAGCTGGTGATGAAAAATGATCACTGAATCTAGACAAATGTTACTGTACTACATCCATTCATGCTAGTATATCACAGGTGACAAACCTCTACCATACCTTATAATACAAACCTCCAGCCACCCACAGCCCATATATCTATATTTCCAGACTACCAAAATTACTAAGACCTTGATTGTTATAGCTCATCAGCTTCATCAGATCAGGGCTTCTCTGGGTGAACCTTGGAAAATCCATGGGAAAAGCAGGAGGTGCAGGCAAGGAAAAGAGGGCAAGATTTAAGAGGAAGGCTAGGTGAAGTTCTGTCATCATCCTTTTCTTTTTGTATTCTTTTCAGGATCTGAAAATACTCATTTTATTAACTTAAAAATTGCATGGTGGACCTATAATGTGTAGTTGAAAGCAGTTGTTTTTAAGAACAGGGAAACAACCAGAAATGGTTTTGCAAATTTGGGGAATATATTTTGGGAAATTACTATACAATTAAAACCTATTCTTGTTTCCACTGAAATCAACAGAAGCTTTGTTATTGATATGTGTATAGATACAGTTTCTGTGTGATTCATAGAAGCAAGTTTTACCAACAAGCTTACTCAAACACACTGTCTTCCTTTAATATCTGCTTAGAAATACTCTACTGTTTGTTTTCCATGTTGCTCTTCCACAGCTTGGATCTGACATGGAGAGACATGCAGCATCTGACAGTGCTCACCTCAAAGAGGAACCAGCTTCACGATGAGGTTCATCAATGGCGTAGAAATGGTGTTGGGCTGGAATTCAACCATTTGTTTGGCTATGGTGTCCTAGATGCAGGAGCAATGGTTAAGATGGCAAAAGACTGGAAGACAGTTCCTGAGAGATTCCATTGTGTTGGAGGGTCAATACAGGAACCTGAGTAAGTGAATGGTCTAGTATATGTGTTTGGCTTCTTCCAGGCATTTAGGAGACCACAAGCATGCAAACATGTTGACAAAGACATAGATAGTCAAAGAAACATAATGAAATTTTTTTTCTAGGAAAGACTAACGTTGCCAGTAGTGTTCCAGGTATTTCAATAAGTTGATAAAATAAACTACATGATCTTCCATGGAGCAGTGCATTCTACAGCCCACCGGTATCATCATTGCTAGTGCCAGTAGTGTTAATAGCAACATCCATTTCTCCTGGGTACTTAAAGGTATGTTTGTGCCAAAGTTTCTGTGAATAAAGAGCCTGTGCACAAGTGAAAGTCTGGGAGGCTGGCACTATAAATTACATAAACTGCTGCCACATGAAATATCTGTCAGCGCTAGGTCATATCTCCTTGTGACATATTCCAGCAGACAAATTTTATTTCCAGAAGACTGAAACAATTATCTACAGGTACCAGTGATTCAGTTTGAACACACCACCATTTAATTGTGTTTGGTTTATGTTCTTCAAATCTCTAATTGCAGGGTAGGTAGTCAAATTATTTTCTGATTTACCTTCATGCGCTAAAGTGAATGAGTCAACAAGTGAATGAATTAAAACTAATTCACTGCAACAGCTATACTTCAATTTAATTATTTGAATTACTAACCTAATAATGGCCAATTTATGTCTATACCATTTGAAATTTGATGTTTCAGTGCCATTTTTGAAGGCATCATAATTCTATTGGAAAAAGAAGGCAAACTAGTAAGCCACCCCGGCACATAGCTCAGCCAGGCAAAGAATAAGTTTGTTCCTAACCTTCCAGATGGATTTGTATTTGCAGGATCCAAGGTTGTACAGCTGAGATCTGAGTTTTAATTTATCTGGTCTATGCGTGCTCACGGGTAGGAAATAAATGAGAGAGTGCTGAAGCTAATTTTGAGCTACCTCCAGTTTATTCATCATTTAAATGCAGACAAATAATCTTACTTATCTTAGAGTAGCCCCATTTATTGAAATGGGAATCATCCTAGAGGACGAAAGAAAATTTCTTGCTGTAGGCTTGTCTCTGCGCATTAGACAATGTGGTAGAGGTATTCCGGTGACAGACTGAGCCAGAGTTGGGCAAGTGCTATGCAGTAGTATTGTCTCCTTCTGCCTTTGTTCTTCTGTCCCATTTCTGCTGTTGAATGGATAGAAAAGCAGAGGTGATGGTGCATTTCCTCCCTCCCAGGGATCTGGAACTGCAGTAAAGCTTCCCTATAGCTGTCATTGCCCAACAAGCTCCAGAGTTGAGAAATAAACTGCTGGTATCTTTTGAGAGCAGCACCCAGAACAGGCTTTGTGCTTACAGCACACAGATTTGTAAAGTTCAGCCAAGGCAGTCACCACCTAAGCCTCCTAACTCTACTGCAATGTAATCTCAGTGTGTATGGGAGCCCTCCTATAATTATCCAACACATCTATATGTTAATATAATATATTAATAATTATATTAATAATATAATAACTGCTGTAATATTTACATCCCCCAATGAAAATGTCACTGATAGGAGATAATAAGCATCATGCCTTGCAACATCTACATTGTTTGAACTACACTGTAAATAAAACTAGTGAAGTCCCAGCATGTCCAGAGATTCACTGGAAATGAAAACTACACTGCACTTCTGCCATGGATAATTGGGTTAGTTTTCTAGTTTGGCCTTGCTGGAGCAACATTTTCTACATATATATATATATGTTTATATAAGTATAGATATTTGTATATATAAAATACATATTCAATATATGTTTGGCTAGGTGAGTAGTTGATGCAGAAGTGTGTACCATAGCAGCATTGTCAGTTAGCAGAAATGGGCCAGGAAAGAACTGAGAGCCTAGAATATACAATGTGCTGAAAGTAAGCAGTATTTGAAGTGCAATATTTCTCTGCTGCATGTAGAAACACTTATTAGCAATAGGAACTTTCCCTGAAGAGGGATTTTTGTTGGGTCAGCAAAAAGAGAAAAAAATGGACAAGTCTGAATCTGGCTGGTTCAGGGAGATACATAGATGATTTAGGACATCGTAGTGCAGTAGCTGAGGAACAGGAGCGTGGAAGTGTGCTTCTAGAGAGCGGTTAGCTCCCCCTGCTCATCTCTAACTGGGTACTACACTGCATGCAGAAGTGAATGCATTTTTAAAATATATATTCTTATATTTTAACTATATATAGCAAATGGGCAGTAGTACACTGTGAGGGTGTGGAAACCCCGTCTCCTCTTCTGCTCCTTTCATGTCGGTCTTTTTCCACCACCCCTGGCTCTTTTTGTTTCTTTGGGGAAATTCACCTGGATTATAGTAATTAGTCTAGCAAACCAGAGAGTATTGGATTCTAATTAATAGGAAAGGGGGAAACAGAGCAAGCCTTTTCTCGTGTGTTTTAGAGAGCTGAGATAACTTTTGCACTGAAGGTGGGGAGAAAAGTTGCCTGCAGCTGTTGGGCTGCCTGCAAAGCAGACGGAGTGGTAACCCTGCTATTTCTTTGGGTTTTGGTGTTGATAGATAGAAAAGACCCACACTGTGGTGTCCTCCCTCATTTACTGCAGGAGATAGAAAGCACTTACCACAACTGTGAGAATGAAGCACTGTTTGACAAAGCTTTGTCAGCTGTGTGAGATTGCTATGAGACAATGTGAATTCAGATTGCTATGAGACAATGTGAATTCAGATTGCTTTGAGGATGATGCTTCCCAGGCAGAGAAATTACTAGCATGTGGCAACTGTGAGATTATGCTCCTTCGCCTCTGGCTGGCATATAGTGCATTTTCCTTGTGCTCTGGCACACAAAATAAATCTTGAGGGTATTGTATGTTCATATATTTTAGCTATACAATATTTATGTTATACCAGCTTCTGCTCCAGGGCATCCATGAGATTCAGAACAACACAGGTTTTTCAGTTTAAGGTAAGCATTTAAATGCCTTGAGGACCTGGCCCTGAATGTCTTTTTAGTCTGCAAGTACTCCCAAGAAGGCAATACTCTATGAAAGAGGGGGCAGAGACTAGCCTGAACCAATTAGTGATGTACTGAGCTGCAATACCTGGAGCTTATCTTGGGAAGAAGAGAATTCTTGGAAGCTAGGCTTGAATGAAACACTTTCACTGGTCTCTGAATAACGTGCTATTTCATTAGCAAAAGGAAAAGGCTGGTACTCATTTCTTTTGAAAAGAAGGTATTCATTACCGCAGTGTGGTCAATGCCCTTTAAAAGGGACTCTCTTACTGCAAAACCTAGGTCATGGAGAAGCCACTGGAAGAGGTAATGACAAGCTGACTGGAGTCTTTTGTGACTTACTCACTTTTATAATGATTGCAGTAATTCTTGTCTTTCAAGTATTTCTTTTAGACACAGGAAAGTGTCACATGCTCACAGCACATTGATGGTGGATGCAGAGAATTTTGTTTACGCTTCCTGTGTAGTTTGCCAGCCAGTTTCTGAGGCAACTGGTAATTGCCAGTTGCATCTTGAGCCCAAGGGGTTTAGCAGGCACTCGGCAGCCTCAGCTGCTGGCAGGGTGCTGCTCCTGGGCCAGTGCCTTCAGGCCTGCTCTGAGATCCTAAGTGGATCTGCCCAGCACACAGTTGCTAAAGGCATCCTCTGCAAGAGCTGGAAAGGCATCAAGGTGCCTTGCTCTCCTGCAGCGCGCACTCACTCACCTCTTCTTGGAAGCCTTTGGAGGCACACTCTGGAAATGATGCTGCCTCACAGTTTTCCTCAACCACATAGGGAGTAACCACACCATGGGTGCCCAGCAAGGGGGGGGCCAAGAGCACCAACTGGTGTAATGTGGCTTCCTTTCATGTGTAATTCATCCTGTTGAAAAGTTTTGGTAAGACTATTAACAGCTGTGAGTGATTGCACAAACCAGACGTGAAGTGGTTTTCTCCTCTTGTGTGCTAACTTCCAGGCGTTGCATCCTCAGGTGTCTGACTCTCTCCAGCAAAGGAGCCCTGTGCGCTGATAACAGGGATCTGGTTTCGATTTGATGACAGGGTCCTTGCAAAAGAAATGTAGCAGGACTGAGCCTGCGTTCCATCTGTGGGTCTAGCTTCCTGGTAATACTTTTTTTATATTCCACCCTCAAGGGACAAATGTCCTTCAGTTAATTGTGAGTTTGCCTTCATAAGGACTGTATTATAATAACCAAGAAACTTGTGACTTCAAGGTGCAGCACTTTGACAACTCACTAAACAAGGGCAACTTCTTTCCTCTGTGTGTGTGTGTGTGTGCGCGCGCATGCGTGCGTTCATGCGTGCTACTGTACTGGAGCAGTTAAAGGATAGCAATTTTCACGCAAAAATATTTTTCAAATGAGCTGAAACTGGGATCTCGTGTTTGTTCTGGTTTCAAAATCAGAACAAGGATTTAGGCTTGAATGTGACTGTAGTGAAATTCCGTGCAGCTGGCTCCTCTGAGTCCGGACAGACATTTGCTGCTGTTTTTTAAGGTGACTGTCTGACACGACTGACTGCTCATGGTTTCTTCTACTGAATAGACATATTATTATGCAATTACCCAATATAGTAGTGGTAAGTAAAGGCAGCTATTAAATATATGTTAATATTTCTTAAATAGCAGTGTGTACTTCTTAATTGTATTCCTTCTCTCTTTGTGTTAGGTGTACATTTCATAATGCACTTTCAAATTAAGGTTTTCGTATAATTTTTTAAAAAGATAATGTTCTTTTTTTGGCTATGTTTGCAACTATTATTTCCTTACTTTTCCATGTATCAATAAGGAAAATAGTACAGGTTTTTCTGTGAGCCACCAAAACCCAGTAGTTTTAGCATGAGCCATGTCATGCTGTGTATATCCTTATAATTTGCTTAATTATCTTTTGACTGCAGAAAGATACTACCAAGTGGCAAGCTGGTCCTCACACTTACAACTGATGCTTGTGAGGGGAAGGAAAACTTTGTCCGATACCTTGAACACGTCCAAGCAGTTATAACTGTGAATTCCACTAGGCGAGGAGACCTCAACATCAACATGACCTCGCCAATGGGAACAAAGTCCATTTTACTGAGCCGGCGTCCCAGGGATGACGACTCCAAGGTGGGTTTTGACAAATGGCCTTTCATGACCACACACACTTGGGGAGAAGACCCCCGAGGCACCTGGGCTCTAGAGATTGGGTTTGTCGGCAGTCTGCCACAGTGGGGCGTGCTGAAGGAGTGGACACTGATGCTGCACGGGACTCAGAGCGCACCATATATAGACCAAATAGTAAAAGATTATCAGTCCAAACTGGCCATGTCCAAGAAGGAAGAGCTGGAAGAAGAATTAGATGAAGCAGTGGAGAGAAGCCTGAAGAGTATACTGAGCAAGACCTAGTGCTGTTCTGCATGACGGTGTCTTTCCTTCCCCAGGTCCCTCTACTCACCTTTCTACTATCCAAACCTCTGTGTTAGACATATTACAATGATTGTCTCTGTAGCTAAATTATCACACTTTATTTTAAAGTCTTACATCTTGTCAATAATTATTTTAATTACCACTGAAGCAATCCTTTTTTTACTCTAAACCACAAATATACTGTCCCCCACTGAATACTATGTACAGTTTGTGACTGTAAATGATTTTTCTTTTGTGTCATACAAATAAGTAATAACCTGCAAAGAAGTTGATGGCTTTTCCCTTCATATTTTTGTGGTAAATGTTGTTTGTATTAAAAAAAAAAAAAAGAGTGAATTTTAACATTGGCAGTTGGTGATAATGGGCACATTTTTAAAAATTGTGAGAGAGGGAATCACGAAGAGGTTGGCTGGAGAGGTCTTTGAATGTCTAACAGCTCCTTCTGCATCATTGACTTCAGTGGACTTTCCCCATTGGGTTCAACCAAGGTAGCATGACACCCAACAAAATGAAATAATCCAGAGATGAAGAAAATTACCAATCCAATTTGCAGAAATCCAATTCTTTTGAGAGTTTTCTTTAATATATACGCTTACACAACATACACGCTAACACTTCAGCCACAGAAGGGTCAACAGGAAGGCAAAGCTATGCCAAAGCCAGGTGACATGGGGAAGTCAGGGTCAGGGCATTCTAGAAGCACAAGTTTAAGTTTTGTTTTGTTTTTATTTTGGCAATTTAAATCAATTTACCATCTTACAGCAGAACAAGCACATAGGGAATGAGCTGTAGGATTTATGGCAACCTGTGTGCAAAAGTGCATCTGCTCATCGCTATACTGAGATGTACTGCAGCAGCGTAAGATGAGGCTGTGTCAGCATTTCCAACCACAGACCCCTGTTTTCTGGGGTTTACAACCTGGCTGTCAGTAAATTGCTGTGGGAGAAAATTGAAGTATGCAATTTCAGTCCCAAAGCAATTTTTTATTCAAATTTTTATGTTATACAAATATATTTAAGGAGGAAAATATGCTTAAGTTATTAATGTGTAATGAAAGCTGGCCTTCCTGGGAAGTAAAATGTAGTGTGTTTGAGAAGATTTGTTGGTAATCATTGCTCTCTGCTGTTTAAAGAGCCAGTCCCACCTTCACTTTTCATGCATGGGTAAAGTCAGTCTCTCGCCCTCAGAGTCTGCTCTGGCTATTGCCGCAAGATGTAACATCCTCCTCAGTGGGAATTACTCATGGTAGCAACCACTACATATTCTCAGGTGTGAGATCCGAAATTTTACCTTTGAAATAAAGGGTCTTGATTCTGCAGATATTTAGGCACTCACTCACAGTAAATGTCATCAGTGGACCTACTCAAATGCTAATTTTAAGCAGGTGCTTCAGATCTTTGCAGGATCCAAGATCTACTTATTAGCAGTGACTAGTTTCAGAATTTTACTATGTATTTTTAATATGCAGAGTATGAATCTAAAATGTTTTAATAAGAGTTGTCCTGGTTGATCAGGTGCATAGTAGTAGTAACATTCAGTAAGTAAATATTTATCTAACAAATTAAAAATGTAACCCAAAGGTTATATGGTGGACACGTTTCACTTAAGAATGTATAATCTATGCTGTTATTTCTACTGAATATCCATCTTTTATCTTTCCATAAGAGGCCTGTTCTTTCCTTTACAAATAAATCCAAATGCAAAATAAACAGCTCAACCTACTCAAACTCTGTGTGCATTACACTCTAAAGCCAAGACAAGCAGCCTCACACTACTCACAGGTTCCTCGTTGCGTGCAGCAGTCCCTTCGGATAATCGAGTCACACTGGGATAAAACAGGCATTGGCTGGAGAAGAATCAGGCCCCAGGTGATTTTTTTTTTTAAGTGCTCTTGGTTATTTGTTCAAATACATTATGGTGCCAGCTGTGCTTAATTTGGTGATTTAAAACTTAACCCAAGGACAAGATGGGTCTGTTTCAAAGCATGAACGGGAGTTCATGTGGCATGAGCCAAAACTCACTGAAGTTAAATGGGCCGCGGACAGGTTTGCTTGTGTCTTTGGAATTGAATGGATCGCACTGATGGCAGTGGGTTTCTGTGGAAGGCACCCAGTTCTCAAAAAGAGCAGTGTATACATACCAGAGGGAAAAATTTACCATATATGTATATTTATGCATACACCTGTATGTCTAAATGCATAGGACACCCCTATGGTATCTCTCTGTATATATATATGTTACATACGATATGTATATTCAGAGTATGTTAGATATATTTGCTTATAAATACATATAGAATTACATACAGTATGTAATGTATAATACATATATGCACATCATAACCTTTTGTGTGTATGTGTTCAAAGAAAGAGGTAACTGGAAGCTTTTGAAGGACTTCTAAACTGTGGAAAAAGTTTTGGAATAAAAAGTCCATGTGGAAATCTTAAATGAACATGTACATGACTCCATTGCATTCATGTAATTTTGCAGTTCTCTGTTCAATCATTAAATATCTTATAAAGCAGCAAAATAACTAGATGGTTGTTTATATTTTCATACTGCTGACATAATTTATTAAGTGAAAGATCACAGTAATCAGTGATATACTGAAATGGTGAGTTTTGATATAAGTATATATAAAACTAAGTGTATATACAATATAGAGATCTACTTCAAATTCTTCAGGATTTTTGCATCAGGGGATTGCTGAAAAATATGTCCAGTTAGACTTAGTTTTTATGGTATTGCTGATGGAAAATAAAGTTAATCTGTTAGTATTTATAATAAAGGGGAAAACGAAGCTCATGATTTGAAATAGGTGAACACTGTTTAACTGAAGCCCTGTGATGATGTTTTATAATATGAGTAAAATAAAGAGCTGTTGTAAACTGCCAGGTCCTATCATCATTGCCTGTCCGAAGGTACACGGGAGGTAATACGCTGCTGTAAGTGGGATGACTTCCTACTCCTCTGCTTTTTACACTGATAAAGTTGTATCCCGTATACGTTGGATACTGAGAAAATAAACACGATCCTCCAAAAGAATTGATAGCAATAGATGAAGAGTAACAAACAAACAGGCTTTATGTTAACTCTGTGATATGGTGGGGCATAGAAGATTAAGGCTGCAGGCTAGAAGGAGCCTTGGGCATTACTTACATGGTTCAAACCCCCTGTCTTCAAGGACAGCTCTGTAGAGGCATGCAGCAATGTGTGTGCCAACCTGCTGCACTCAGTGGGGAAGGGGACACTCAGGAAGAGAGACAGTGACATTTTTGCACTGCATTTCATAAGCAGTTCTGGCCCCAAGGAAATGCTACAGCAGGTTTTTTTTTTTTTTCTCGGAGCACTTTGATCCACTCCCCCCACCCAGTATCCCTCTTCCTCCCTACTTCCCACCCACACTTTTGGGTACTTTTTAGCACATATGTTCCCATGGCACAGGTATGTGGTGTTTTATAATTTCTTACTGTGTCTGCAGCAGTAAAAGATGGCAGGGAGCCTCCTGATCTAGTTCTGATTGCCACAGAGGCAAGAATGTACCTGTAGGTCTCATCCCAGGCTCTGCTGAATAGATGCTCACAAGTATTTCACTGTTACACTTCAGCATTAGCATTTCATCACTTCATTGAGAATCTGCATTTAAAGCAGAGGTTAGCCCATAAATCATGAGATTTTACTGTAGCTTTCAGCATTATCATTATGAACAACAGAATACTAGTGTTTTTTCCATATAATTTTCATACACATTTACAGAAAGATGCCCATCATCTGCAGCCTTATTGGGCAACTGCCATGTTTATGGAAGGCAGGTCAGAGATTGTAGCCGAATTTAGGCCTTTTAGTGCTTCATGGGCCTTGACTTCTGCTGATGTTGGTGTCCGTTGTGCAGCTCAGCACCAGCTTGGTTCAAGTCTTGCACCTTGGGTTGCTGCCTATGCAATGCAGTACATGACTTCTTCGGGAGTATGTGCTACCAAACCTGCTTTAAGAGTGATTTTTTTTATACTGCACAGCTGCTGAACAAGGTTTACAAGCATCAGAAAACCATTTCTATGTCAGCAGCGAAGAGTGGTGAGACCACCACACAAAATGGATGAAGGTGGCGGGGGAGTATTCACACATTAGACACCTAACCCAGGCTTTCCGGAAGTGTTGCCTCCTTGCTGTTGACTAAGGCTTTTTGTATTCCAAAAATGAAGTTCTTTTTGTATCACAGTGAAATCAGATGGTTGGGGGGAGTACCCAGTTCTGTCTAGGTACTGCCTGAATCTGTTTACACCCTGTTTTGTGACAGAATTATTGAACAGCCTTCCTATTGCTCAGTTGTGTTTGTTTTTTTTCCTTGCAGTAGTCAAAACCTGCTTTCACCAGCAGTCATTCTGAGCAGCTGCTCCCAGCTCACCAGAGTGCAGCTTGCATATGCATTGATAAAGTCCTCCTCTGCAGTTACTTACTTAGACTGTTAATAAATTAAACTGAAAAACAGCACACACCCTTGTAAGCCACATCAGGCATAAGCTCCCACAAGCCTTTCAATAAAATAGCATTGACAAAAAATCCTGAATAAAAAAAAAAAAAATCCAACTATGATGTGGGTCACCTATCCATTTCAAAGAAGAAGGTGCCACTTTTTAACAGACATAATAGTCACAGTAGCTTAGATGCTATACCTGCATTGAAACTCACTAATGAAAAACCCAACAGAATATCAAAGGAAAGTGTTGGGTGATGTGAGAAGGTAGTCCTGAAGTTCAGGCTCATTGGCTCAAATGGGATTTAGCCCCTCTCTGTCGCAGCTGACAGGAGTAATCAGCCACAAGGAAAAGGCATAACAGTGCTGAAAGCTGAAACAAAAACTTTGAGAACTGGGATGGGATTGGCGAAGGAACATGTGGAGCCCAACCTAGTAAAAGTACTTCAGTATGTACCTTGCTTTACTGGGATTAATTGTATGCCTGAAGTCAAACTGAGGCCTAAATGATGCATCAGCACTTTAAATAGTGCTTGCTATTTGCACACACACAAGTGAAGAATTTCTTTTCCTTTTTTTTTTTTTTTTCCTGATTTGAAGCTTTCTGGGAGCTGCAAGAGGCTGTTGCAGAAGTGTGGCTTATTGCTTCCCCAGGCATGGGGATGTGGGAAGGTGCCACTTGTTCCAGCAACCCGTGGAGCACCATGGGACTGTGAGTGGGCTGCGACAGGATCCTGTGGCCATGTTTGTTAAACTCTGTAAAATGCTACAGCCTGAGGAAATACTTAACAAGAAAATACCAGAACACAGTCTTTTGAGTTGGCTGCAGTCTGCTCAAAAGCTTGTTGGCATTTGTCAATACCTTAGTTGTGTTGGTGAAGGACAATGCCTTCAGTATCTTATAAGGGTTATCCCCCACTTTGGTGGAATTTCAAGTTTTATTCTGAAAAGATAAGCAGAGAGTTTGTCTTTAGATCCAAAAAGAAAGGTCTGCCAAGCTCATCTCTATTTAAAGACTGTAAATGAGAATTTGGAATAGGTTATTTAACAGGTATCCAGCCCTTCCCCTGGAAAAACTCATGCACACCCAGTCAGTTGACACTTAC